ATGCTATATGGTAATTTATGGACCTAATAGGTATCTAAAGCCATTTGCACATAACAAAATATGTATTTTATCAAAGTAATTGTTGAACTGAAATACAATTCAGAAGAAGTATATTAATAGTGAAATACAATTAAGAAGAAGTATATTTTTGGGGAGCCCCCAAGAGAGTGGGGCCCTAAGCTATACCTTGTTTAGCTTATACGTAAATCCGGCACTGGTTTTGACTAATAGAAATGATTAGGGTGTTTCATGTAAATCAGTTTGCAATGGGCTAGCAATGAGCAGGCACCAATGTGACTTATCCCCCCCCCCCCCACAGGAGGGTCCTAATAACTCAGCTTTCTTCCTTTTGCACAACAGCCAAATCAGGCTTATATGCTAGGTAGGAAACAGTGTGATTACCTAAACTCTGATACTTCTACACTAATCAAAAACCCATTCCACCTCCAGAAATAAATTTTATAGTGGGAGATATACTATGTGGTTGGTTAGAGATATAGCAGATCATACATTTTCCAAATCAGCCAGATATAATAATTCAAGCATCATGCAGCTTAAATAGTTTTGAGCAGCTACTCAACTCAAGCAACACACTGGGAAAGGGAATCATCTCCCATGTATATAAAATCCCCACACAACTGGCTACCCTTCCTTTCACTTTATTAAGACTAAAATGGGGAAAAGATTTTGGAGAAGTATTAGAAGAACAACACTGGGAACAAATTTGGAATAAACTACCATTTGGATCCATCTCAATTACAGCGTGAGAAAATGCTTTAAAGACACCACATTGCTGGTAAATGTGCCCAGGCAGATTATGTAGAATTAATCGTAACACATCCGTTTGCTGAGGGCAATGCAATTTACCTGGCTCTCTAGAACACATGTGGTAGCTTTGCCCCCAAATTATTCCATTTTTTGAACAGTTAATCAAATGATCCTCCTTTTCTTAACTGCAGTTAAATTTTTGATTGCAAAACATTGGAAAACTTTAATTGCAAATCTTCTTGTAGCCTGGATTTTTCAAGTATGGGACATTGTACTAACGTATCACAAATTAACCGTTTGACAAAAGGAATATTGATTGGAGTTGGGTGTCAGCATCGCCCTTGAGCCAGTGCCACTAACTAGACTCATCCACTTCAACCCCGACTGAGCTAGGCGAGCTGGGTAGCACTTCCAGAGACCACCTTCTACACAGGAACAGGTCAAAGTGCTGTGGACTCACAGCTTAGTGTTGTGAGCACCGGATTCACTCCCACAAGAAGACAGTCGTTGCACAGCAGAGTATAGCAGAGTACAGTAGAGCATAAACGACTCGGAGAGCAGCTCTGTAGAATATCTTCTTTTATTCTATCTACAACTATAATACACAACTATGTACAGAGCTAAATGAGGTCTAAACTAAAAAAACAAAACTGAACTGCACTGAGTGTCTGCAGCTGCTCTTAGCAGCAACCTTATCTATACACACGATCTCTAACACTCAGTCTCTCTCTCCAACACACTGACTGACTGATGTTAGGCTGGAGCGGAATAAGTAGAGAGCAGAACACCGCCCCTCCTCTCTGGAAAATCACCAGACTCATCAGCAGATTCTTGGATATGGGAGGGGTGAAATCTCCTCATCGGGGGGGGGGGAGAGACTCACACCTTCTAAATGACATGGTATCCTTTAAATGACCTTGTTAAGGCAATTAAACTTTTGTGTTTTTTTTACCCTTTATCAACTCATGGAAACTGATGGAGGCACTTTCATTTGACAGCCTTTCTTGGCACATCTAAAACTACAACCATCAGCCACTAGTTTTCTTTCTTTTCTGCACAACTACTAAGCTCTGCATTCTTTGTATGGGTATGTTTTGTTACTTGGAATTAAAACTCAGTTTTTAAAAATGGATCTTTAAAATTAGATCTGTCTGATTTCTCCATGTTTCGTGCATACTCAGTATCCCCTAGGAGCAGTCGTGCAACAGAATTCTCCTGCATGCGTCTGGTGACAGGACTGTGACTTCCAGAACTTTTCTGTAGTTTGCTGTGAAAAACAATGAGATATATACATTTGGATCCAAACCAACACAGTGCAACCCTACCCTGTTTTAGGATCATCCTCTTTTAGTCTTCAATCCTTCATCCAGTTACATGCATGGCGGATGGCAGAATGGAACAGGGTGGAGAAACTTACAATGTGATGATATCAGGTCGTGAGTTAAGTATAACTACATGTTATGAAAGGGGAGGGGAAGAACATGACAAGTTGTTGATGGAACCAGCCCTGCATCATGCTCAGGGCTAGTTCTGCCACAATGGTCCCTAGGAGTTGTGGTGGGGGAGAAATTGCAAAGGTAATTGGGAAGGGGGAGACACGTCAAAAAAGGGGGAGTATTAAATCAGTGACACGTGATACTTGTTCAAGAAATGAAGAACCCTGGAACTGTATTCAAGTGTCTTGGAAGTTAGTGAGATGCAATTGGTTCTGGAAAACACAATGCAAGCTGCTCAATATAGGTGCACGATACCTATACGTGCCCATCCTCCACAGATTTATATAGTCAGTGACAGCCACAATGCTTATAATAAGCAGGTCGTGGTCTCTAGGACAGATCATTTGCAAAACGGATAGAAATATAGCACGGAGGTTGCATAATGAATAGCAGGACACTCCCTTTCCTGCAAGTATTTGTTATGACATGACGCAAGTTATTCATGCCACTAACTGACATGAAACTCAGCTATGCGTATGCACAAAAATGGTGCATACCCAGAGGGCGTAGTCCCCATTCTAAAATTCTTCAGATTTTAAAGAATGATACGACTGTCACAGCCAAGCAACCAAGAAGCAAACTGATTTATATAGCACTCCATCAACAGCCAGGGTACAATTATGAAGCAGTGACTTCTCAAGTATGTAGGGGAATCAAACCCAACACAAAGCTTATTTTTAAGTTTATGCGAACTTCCTAGCAGCCACAGATTAATTAATGTATTTGTGTGGCACTGACAGTAATTAAAACAGTGCACAGATGATTTGGCTGTAAAGTACCATGCTGATCGGCTCAGCACCTTACAATATTTCTGAATAGCACACAAAACTTCTTAGGACTGCATTTGGGTTGCTTTGAAGTACACCCCACCAAAAAGAAAATCATGGGAACTATTGTTTACCCCCAAATTATGATTCCCAGCAACCTTAATAAACTTCTAGGAGGGAGTATGCTATTTTTTATTTTTTTTAAAAAAATATATTAGATTTTCTTGGTATACAGAAGTATGTGCATCATCTCCTTTTTCAGGTTGTAAAGTCTTTTCTACAGATCAGTTAGATCTGTTATTAGACAGTAGTGTTGAGAACCGTTCAGTGGTACCTCAGGTTAAGAACTTAATTTGTTCCAGAGGTCCATTCTTAACCTGAAACTGTTCTTAACCTGAAGCACCACTTTAGCTAATGGGGCCTCCTGCTGCTGCCGTGCTGCCTGAGCACGATTTCTGTTCTCATCCTGAAGCAAAGTTCTTAACCCAAGGTACTATTTCTGGGTTAGCCGAGTCTGTAACCTGAAGTGTCTGTAACCCGAGGTACCGCTGTATAAGGTTGGGGAAGAAGGGGTGGGGTGGTGAAACTTAAATTATTTTATACTCTAGGGTTTTGTGTCAGCGTCAACTGGGTAGGTTCTCTGACTACAGTGGTACCTCGGATTAAGTACTTAATTCGTTCCGGAGGTCCGTTCTTAACCTGAAACTGTTCTTAACCTGAAGCACCACTTTAGCTAATGGGGCCTCCTGCTGCTGCTGTGCCGCCGGAGCATGATTTCTGTTCTCATCCTGAAGCAAAGTTCTTAACCCAAGGTACTATTTCTGGGTTAGCCGAGTCTGTAACCTGAAGTGTATGTAACCTGAAGCGTATGTAACCCGAGGTACCACTGTATTCACTTATTACATTTCCTTGGTAGTGAGAGGGATTTGGGGAGGGGATATGCTATTTATCAGAGTTGTATCCTGTTCCACTCTTCCTCCAAGTAGCTCAGGATGGCATATAGTAAACCACACTGGGAATTCTGAATGGAAGGGTGGGCTTAAGTAGAAGACATTTTGCTGCCTGATGCAAGAGAAGATGGTGTCTCTCACAACTCCCTGCCATTCCACCTACAAAAGCTGACAGGACTGGTAGCTTTAATCTCATTTCAACACTGGGAACCGGGCCATGTCCTCCAGCACACCTAAAGTCAGCTTTAGGCACACACTCTGTTGTCCAGTGCTGCTCTCTGCCCATCTGTTCCCTTGTTCTGCCTAACAGTATTAGAAACATGAGGTTAAGTGTTGCGTGGATGGCTGTGTGAATCTATTTCTCACAGGTCCAAGTCCAGCAGCACGCATTCTATCCAATACATCAGACTCCTCCTCGTTCAGCAACATAGAAGGAAGCGCAAAATGCCTCCCGATTCGAGCAAACACTCTTATGGTGACTTAACGCCTCCAGCACGTTTGCTGCACGTAAGTAAAGTCCTTTGACCGGGGCAAAAAGTTCATTAAGGGCTCGCCCAATGTACCCCTGCAGCTTCCCGCTGAATAGCGAGCTGCGTAGAAGCAGCAAACACGTGGGCGCAACGTCACATTGCAAGCGAGCACTACTGCGCGGCATCCTAAAAGAACTACGGATTTGAGGGGGCGGGCGACGACGCCTGACTTGGCTTCAAACCCATCCGTGGAGTAGGCTCAGACCAACTGGCCTTAGCTCTAGAATACGGTTTTTTCAAATAAAATAAAAAACAGTGTCTCTGAGCATGTCTGGAGTTTCTCATCGCGTGCCCCGAGCCTGGAGTTGGGTCGCGCACGCGGCTTCCCCCAAGGCGAGGACGCTTCTCCTCCGAAGCCCCGATCGGCCACGGAATCCCTCGGCCCAGGATCGCCTCGCCGCTCGCTTCCCTTTTCGGGATCGCCCGGCTCTGCGTGGCCGGCTGACGCCCTGCCCGAGTCACAATGAGCCGTCCCCGCAGGACGCGGCGCCGCACCGCGCTCTCCCGGGCTGCAGAGGGTGGCGGCACCAGGCGGCGAAGGTCACCATGCGCCCGGGCGCAGCGGCCCAGCCTTCCCTCCTCCTCCCGGGCGGCGCTTTTCCCGGCGCTTAGGGAAATCGCGAGGTGGCGGAGGAGGAGCTGCCGAGTGACGCGACGGGAGGACACCGCGGGGAGGCTTCCCTCGAAGGTAGGCGGCGGCGGTGGCGGGGCTGCTGGGCTCCGAGGAGAGAGGGGCGGAGTCCCACGAGGGAGTCCCTGGAGCATCTTTCCAGGATTGGAGAGCGCCAACGCCGGTCCCTTGAAGGTGTCCAGTCCAGCAGCTTATCCGGAACACCAGCCGCTGCGGGACGTGGGCTACGTGCCTAAATCAAATCCACCTTATCTGGATTGCATAGGAAGGACGTTGTCTTCCCATAGCGTAAAATGCCCAAACACAGAGAGGTTTTCTCTGGCAGCAAAAAAGGAAGCAGCTAGGCGCAGGATGGGAAAGAGGGGACCCCATAGAAGGGACTGTATTTAGAAGAGTTATTGGGTGGAGCTCAAGAAATGGTGCGTTTGGATAGCTAGTGGCTCATAACCACCGTCTGTGTGTTTCTAAATGCCAGTTGCTGGAAACCCCAGAAAGAGAGAGATCTGATGCTCTCAGGTCTTTCCTGTTGGCTTCCCATAGGCATCTGCTTGGCCAAAGTGAGAACAGGATGCTGGGCTATATGGACCACTGACCTGCCTGATCCAGCAGGCTCTCCTTATATCCATTCATATATCCTTTTTGTACTTGTATGGAATTTTGGGAGTCACCAGGTGGTGGGAATTATGGAACTGTGTTGCCTTGCTGGGGAAAAGATCCAGCTAGCAACAGTCTGGATAGCCACCAACTTATTGACTCAATATTTACAGCCACAGGCATTTTGGATCAAATAGTTTTTGGAAGGTCTATTTTGCCCTATACCCTCTACAAGGACCCTGCTTTTATGTACTGTGGCTGTAGTGCAGTTGGGGGTGCGGTACCTTCTGAACCCCTGCAGGAGCATGTATAAATTTGAGTGTACATGCATAGGTCCCTGTGCAAATGAAACCAAGATATATGAAGGTCAGGAGAAGTGCCAGTGTGGGCATGATATTGATCTCTCCAGGGATGGTTTTTCTTGGTCACAAAGATTCTGATCCATTCTGTCGAGCGGCATGTTTGTTTTCTATAAAGCAGCCAATGAAACAGTAAACCTAATATGAACTTAAACATTGTCTCTATAACAAGCACTTCATCAGAGGCAGGCAAAGAGCAAATGTAGGAACCGCGAGGAAAGAATATAGAACTCATCAATAATGTAAAATGATGAGATGGAGTCGAGAGAAGAGCGATCTGGAGGTGTAATTCAGGCTGTTTCTCAGCTTGATCTCTGCCCTCCCTTTGAACTCTGCCTGGAGGTTACTCTGGAAGCTAGGTAGCTGATGGTTTAAGAATGCCTAGAACCTCTCTGTTGCAATTCAACAAACCATCTGAAAAACGGAGGTGTCATTTAGCCGTACCAGCTTATAGCTCTTGACAGGGGTATCCTTCATGAAATTGTTCTGTCCTTCCTCAAAGCCTTCTGAGCTGGTAGCCATCAGAACCCCCTTATGGCGGTGAATTCTATGTTAAATGTGCACTTGGTCAGGGGTCATCAAGACAGCATCTTGGGGCACCAGAACCAGTGTGCCCACCAGAATCTCCTGTGTCACCTGTGAAGGGTATTTGCAAACATCTCCTCAGAAATCCACTGTGCATGGGAGACTGTTTGTTCTCTCTCCTCAATTTCCCTTTGCATTGGTTTAGCCTCTCCTTAAACATGCCCACATTTCATTGGACAGAAGAGGGGCACAGAGCTTCTCCCTGGGAGTGAGCACTGCACTAGCTGATATAGGTGCCTTTTCCAACACGCCTGTACCATTTTGTGGCCATCTCTTTTTCTGCCCTTTAAGATATGGCAGCCATTTTGAGACTGGCACAAACACTCCAAATGTACCAACTGCATTAGGGCAGTTGCGTGTGTGTTTGCAGGCACAGGAGTGCACAGCGGGCCAGTAAAAAAAGGTGACACCCTTATTTATAATCCTAGTGTGGATCATTTCTTAGTTCCCATGACTTCATCCCAACTGTGTGCCTGTGTTTCTGGGAGGTTTGTTGCCCATGTCATTTCTTATGGGCACATTACTAGTTGCTGCAGGCTTTGAAAAAGGTTGACAAGACAGCTTGCTAGTTAATCTGGAAAATATGTCGTGTTAGGAAACACCCAATATTTTGCACCTCTATGAGAAGCTTTAATGAATACAGGAAGGCTGAGAACCATTTCTTTTGCAGTTGGGTCCTATGGAGCACTTTTAAAACAGAAACAAGGGAGGGAAGAATCTTTAAAGTTTGGATTTATTTTATTTTTGCTTGATTTATCTTCTTTATTAGCCAATGTATATCCCAGTGTTTCTTACTGGAGTGACTCAGCATTATTTTTGGTATCTGAACATGGTTCCAGTTGGGTGCATGTGAGGGAAGCATAAGGTACACATGCCTCTCAGCTTATGGACTTTGAAATAAATCTTCAGAACGTTAAAATCATGGCATGCTATTCTACAGAGTGTAAGTTTTCTACTAGAGCTAGGGTGGGGAAATGTTTGCAGCCCAAGAGGCTATTTCCCTTCTGGTCCACTTTCCAAGGGCGGGGCTGCATGCCAGTGATGGCAAAGCAGCTGGGACATCAAATTTAAAATTTGCATTTATATAGTAGACTTGTTTCTAGAGTTGCCAGGTCAGGAACACCCCAGCCTCTGAAAGTTCAGGACTGAAACTTGAGATCTTGGGATGGCCTCTGGAGACAGAGGTTAATTGGAATAGAAGAGTGTCTGTCCTATACAGTGATACCTCGGGTTACATACGCTTCAGGTTACAGACTCTGCTAACCCAGAAATAGTACCTCGGGTTAAGAACTTTGCTTCAGGATGAGAACAGAAATCGTGCTCCAGCGGCATGGTGGCAGCAGGAGGCCCCATTAGCTAAAGTGGTGCTTCAGGTTAAGAACAGTTTCAGGTTAAGAACGGATCTCCGGAATGAATTAAGTACTTAACCAGAAGTACCACTGTAATTTGAAGCAAACTTCTGCTGGACTGAGGTGTGCAAGCTACACACATGGTCTTCTTAATTATTTTTATTTTTTATTGCAGGCACCCTTGCCCACCTAGAGATTCAAGCACTCCATTAGCCACCTGGATTTAAAAAATGCAAAGGCAGAAAGTAAGTGACCATTTGCTCTGGTATAGCATGCCCTGTCAAAAATAGGGGCATGTTTGCAATAATTCTATTTTCATAACAGCGACTGCTGCCTGACACCCATTATTAGACATTGCTGGAGGTTCTGCTGTAGCCTGATTTAAAATATGCTGGTGTTTGTTCTTTTGGCTCAATAAACAGTCAGAAAGCAGAACTGTCCCACAGCAGTTGGTACCCTCACAGCTGCAGCATGTGAAGTTTGCTTGCACCAGAGAGTAGATGAATCCTTCTCATAGAAATATTATGCTACATGCCACCCCAAACTCCAAGTGGTGAGACTCCAGGGATACCAGCACTTTCCTGGGGCTCAGGTTCCTTGGAAAGACAGCAGAGACTATGGTCTCTTTAAGTTATATGGTTTTATTTACATATATATATATACAACCTGAGCATAGGATGGAGGGGCTTATAGCCCCAAAAGATCTTGCTTCCCCATTAGTCACAGCTTTGGATTCATTACAGAGCAAGACATATGTATGTCCCCAGTTCTTGTAGCATCTCCCCTTCAGTTTTCAGCTCACTCACATAGCTGTTCTCTAGCCCAGCCCCATTTTTTTGCTCTTTTGGTTGTTGCAGCTATTGCAACCCAGCTTATCCCTTTGGAAAGCCCATCAGGACATTATGTGGCCAGTTGGTCTTCATCTCCAAAGAAACTTGATTGACTGGTTGCCCAGCTTCCCCCAAACACAGTGCTTTTTTCAAGGGGGGTGGGACTCAGTACCAGCATCTCTTTTCTGTTGTTGTTAAAAAGTGTGGCACTTCCTGTAACAACTTCATGGTGAGTACCGGCTTTTCTAGAGAAAAAGCACTGCCCAAATGTATAACAATAAGAATAGGCCAGTTAAATCCAGCCAGTGACCAGTCTAGTCCAATATCCTGTTCTCACAGTGGCCAACCAGGTGTCCATGTCACTCTCCCCTCCTACAGTTTCCAACAACTGGAATTCAGAAGCAGGATGTCTCCAACAGTGAAAGTAGAACATAGGCATCATGTTTAGTAGTCATCTCCCAACTTAATGATTAAATTCTGGGGGAACTGGGCAGTAACACTGAAGAACGACTGCTCTTAGCATCTCACACTAAAAAAATTCCAGTGGAACATTTCTGAAAAGGCAAATAGGGACAAAACAGCCAGTGATTTGCTTTCTCAGACACAGGTGCCACAAAAGAGGGTCTGTCTCCCCCAAAAATAAAATAAAATAGGGGCAACTGGTGTGTTCTGATAGATAATGAAGCCCTGCTGGGATAGCTGATTATATCGTGAGTGCACTTTTTGTGAAACTGAAGAGCTTCCTTGCAAGAAGAAATCTGGATCCTATGTATCTGTTGCTTGATAAAGCATTTATCTAAAAAAGGCTGAAGGCTCTGTCCCCCTGTTTGGAAGAAACTGTTGGTTATTTCATTGCACTGACTCCCTTGGCGTCATAGCCATTCAGTGATGTACATGAATGGTTGCCGATTCCCCTTGTTACAGGATTAATAGCTTTACAAGCCAGTGGACAGAGCCAGATCTAGAGGCCTAAAATAATGCAGCCTAATGAGCTCAGAGCATCATGGAAAGTAGAAAACCCGTTAACAGAGTTTAAAAATAAGCTCAAGTGCCGTCAAGAGTTTAAACAGGATAATCGACACAGGTTTCCATTCAACAATTACCTGGGGCGCGGGTGTCACTGGCAATAAATAAAGCAGCTATATTGGAACTAGCTGGTTAAGTAACAATTAAAAAATAGTTCTCACACAAATATTTCTTTCCAAACGACTGGCACTAATAGAACCGACATTTGAATTGAAGAAAGAGACAATTGAGTTATAGAATTGCTGGCTATTACTGGTTGTTTAAAAATCATGTATATTGTCATCAGAGGAATTTCTGTACCTTCAGTTTGGAAAGATGCATTTTCTTCCTGTTATCTCTATTCTTTTTGTTGATGTTGAGTTCAAAATGCTTTTAAATTTTCATCTAATCCAATTGGATATGAATTAAGGATTGGGCCAGGGGAGAGGCATTGATTTGTGGGGAGGGGGGCAATTAGATATCCGGGGGGGAGGCTCATGCAGTTCCCTGTATAACAAATTGACTCAACATGTCCTTCTTCCATGTGGCCTTTATCTTCACAGACCAAGGCACCCATGAAACCCAAAGTATGCATCTGTGCCTGCAAGATGTCACAGGAGAAGAATGCAGCCAAAGCTGCTGCGAGCAAGCATCAGAAGCCATTTCCAGTAGCTCTGGGCTACAAAATGGAGCAGGCTTTAGTTTCTCAGTATGTCCCTGTTGTCCTCCACCCTGGAGGACACAAGCGTGAGTCTCTCCGATATGCTTTCTACAACCCTAACTACTCCAACACGTACACACCATTTTACACTTTGCAAAAACCCACCTGCGGTTATCGGTATTGTCGAGACACAGATCACACGAGGAAGGTGATGGATGTTGAAAGAGTGGATTTCTCAAAATGGAAACCCATTTTTGGGAAGAAGCCAGGCTTGTCTGCAGCAGGCTCAAAACACTGAAATCGCCATGCAGTTAACCCGGGACTTCCATTCAGAGGCTTGAGCTCACTCATTTTCTAAGGCCACTCAGAAGGAGATTGTTGTAGGAACTTCAGAAGAAGCAGATCTGCCTTAACAAGAGCTTCTGGGATAAATTGCAACGAAGTCACCCAAGTGCCACTATAAAGCGGGTACCAAAACCCAGGTTTTAGTTGGCACTTTAAGCTAAGGCTCATCCTGGAGAGAAACAATAAAGGCACCTGGCTTTCCACCTTTTGACGTGAGTCAGCAGAATGCAAAAAGTAGCAAAGCAGATGATCAAAAACTGTGAATAAAACACCAAAATGCAAAGCCCGTTGAGGAGATTCTATTTATCCTTGTGGCCTCATGCACTCTGTGTTTTTGTTCCCCACAGTAATGGTAAGGGCAGAAGCAGAAATTATTTATGCTGTACTTTCTTCAGTTTTGCTGTAACATGGGGTGTCAGTGGGGGCTTTTGGATCTCACGCATGGAGACTTCTGTCTTCTGAGTTTCAAACAGCCACTGGAACAGGGAAGGTTGATACACAACTCTGTTATACCTTCTCCACTTTGGTATAGCATGTGAATGGACTTTCACGGGCTGAAGATGTCACTTCTAAGGCAGGTGAAGAAGGTAGGCAGCCAGTTTAGTGATCTGGGAATTTGCAAAGATGTTAAGATGGTGGGTGGAAGCATGAGAGGGAAATCCACAGTATCCTAAGCAAGCAGACAGGTCATTGCCACAGCAGGGCTGTGTATCTCCACAGCTTTGTTATATAAGAAGTACCCACCATTCTCTTGAAACATGGAGTGCACCTGAAATAAGGCTCTGCTGTAGTCTAGTGACATGTTGAGAACATTGGACTTCACACAACCTGTCAGGGAACTGACATCAGAGCCAGAG